GGGCCCACTTTACAGATTATAAAGAACCCATTCAGATTTCCAGATAGGTTAATTACAAGATAAAAATAGGGTTTAAACTGGGGAATAATTCATACAAAATTTAGAATAAGGAATAATAGAAACCAACTGTGCTGTTTATCCATAATGTGTAACTCTGGGATCAGGAAAACAACTGAGTCAGTAGCCTGAACATAGGTAACTTTTAAAATTAAACAACTTCTATGTATGGGAGAGTAAGGAAATTCTATGCTATCAGATTCTAGTAGCTTTATTAACCATATATGTATACCTCCAAACTATTCTATTTCTCTACTCAAAGGGAATGGCATACAACATGACAGATATCCCTGTATTAACTATATTTTCTGTATTAATACTCTGACTTCTGAGGCATTACTGACCTGGGAAAAATATCCTCTACCAGTGTTAACTAAGTCCTAGAGACAGTGTCCAAGAGTATGCTTTTGATATGCCAACCAACCAATCCCCAAACCCATAAGCCCACCTCCATTTATGGGCTCTCACACTCTGAGACACTATGTCCCTTCTATACTCACTCAGAGGCCAGATACTGGACAACCAAGCGCCACCCCTATGACTCAGAGTCTGCTGAAATTATTTAAGTTATTCCATTCTAAACCTACTTAGCTTGTCTACCTTGCCTTGACCATTCCCTCTTGCAAAGCTACAACAAAAGCACCTACCCTCAGTTCCACTCTTTCTTTGCCTGCTGAATTCCCCTTGGTGCTCCTTGGGGTGGCCCTATGTGGCATTCCACACCCTGTTTTTAGAGAACTGTGTGCATGATTAAAACTTCTCCCTTCATGGCATTAAAATAACCTCTCAAGAATTGAATCCAGAAGATTCTCAAAGTCAAATGAATTCTTTTACTTTGAAATCTATCACCAGGTATCTTACACTTTCACCCCAACCCTTCTTTCCCCTACACAGGTAACTACTTCAAGGGCCACCATCAATATCACACTTATCCATGAAATGGGCATTCAGAATTTTGTAACTCAGCAGGTCTTTCCTAGAGTTCTCATGTAAATTCATTCTTATTGGTGGACTCTTCAGCTTATCATGAAATGTTTACATATGGTTCATGAGGACAAGAGGCTCTCTAACTTGCTCACTGTTGTATCTGCAGCACCTAGACTTGTGCCTACCACAGTAGAACCCAGCAGATTGTGCCTGATGAATGAATGAATAGACAATACAACAATGAATACATGTTGACATAGATGGTAGAATGCAGTTTGAGAGGCAAGACTATATCCAGACTTAAGTGGTAGACAGTGTGGCCACAAGTTAAAAATATGGGTTCTAGAATCAGACCACAGGCTAACTCCCTGCTCTACCATTTGCCAAAAATGCAATGTTAAGACAGGCCACAAATCCACCCACCCCACCCCAATTTTTTATCCATAATAACAGGTTAAAATGGAACCTACTTCAGAAGGAAAAGATTAAACAGAATGGTCTATGAAAAACATTTACAGTCTGCTCAAGATAGCAATATAAATTCATGTTTTGGGGTTCCACATGATCAACCCCACCTCTCCAATTGAAACATATAACAATCATGGATGAAATGTTTTTAAAAGAAGAGTAAAAGAAGACTCAAAACCATAGTAAAATTTGTGATAAACACCTCCATGAATCAATAATAATAGAAACCCTAGGTGGTACACATATTTAAAGCAAAGACAGCTAGTTAGAAGGTCAACCTCCAAAGGATATATGTGCTCCTACTGGATGTAAAGGCAGATGGAAAGGTCTACTGACTGCCTGAAACTGTGACCTGAGCTGAACTAGTAGCCTTGATTACATATCACTTACTTTACCAAAACACTAAAATATCTCCAGAAGCTTGCTACATCCAAAACTACTATTTCTGTTTCCAAAGGTTCCCTCTCAGTTTGCTCCTGTTTGACAAAAGCAGGCTGCAGCTCTCTTCACATATATACTCTTCTTTTGTACCTTCTTAATTTCCATACTTCTCTACTTTCTTACAGTTCTTTCCTGTTTATAAAATATTCCTACATAATATCCCTTTTGTAATGATACATCTTAATAAAATAAATTCTACTACTTCTAAAAGAAGCCTTTCCCAATTATTTACATATTGATAAGTAGTCACTCTGGAGCCCTCACAAACCACCTCTTAATATGGCACTAATGTAGAAAGAAAGATACCCATAATGAAGCATACAAAGAACAACCTCCCTTCTAAAGTGAGAGACAGACAATTGAGCATTTGTTTACTAAACAAAATGAAAATTTTATGAAGCTTTGAATAATATATATTTTTTCTATTACACAGGCAACTAATCCTCTGTAAAAGTTAATGTATCACTAATAATCCTCCCTGCTCTAGAATTTTTGGACTTGAAGGGAAGGAACTGAAACTTCTGTGAGAGACTTAAGAACTAAGATGCCAGAAGGACTTTTTTGCTGCAGGACAGCTAGCCCTGGGATCAATAAATATAATTCTTGAGACATTAGAGAAACTAATAAGGGACTAAAAAATTAGTAGAGGAAGAGAACAAAGAAGGAAGAGTGAGGGAGATAAAACGTGAACCACAATCTGACTTGAGATCAACAAGCAAGGAAAAGAATGGAGGGTAGCAGGGAGCTAATGTCAACACCAGCACTAGAATCTCCAGATGTCTGTTCCCTCCAGACCCCAGGCCCCAACCCAGAGTAAGCCTGAACCTGAAATGTCATTCATAAACCAGGACCCTCAAAGGGAGCTAAAGTGATCCCAATCAAGACCAGTCCTAGATTCCTGGCCAAAGAAAAGAAAAACCATCTGGAAGAAACCAGGATTGATAAATATTGGATCTGTGTCCAATTAATATTGATCTCAAAGTCAAATGTCACATAATATGCAAGAAAAAAAGTCACTCTGAGTGAGAGACAACTGAGATAGCCAACAGGTTTAAACCATTAGGGGCTTCACATATTAGAATTGTCAGATATAAAATATGAAATATTATACAGTAAACATTTAAGAAAATTTTTTAAATGTCTAAAAAGGAACAAGGGTCAAGAGGCTATCAAAAGTAATCATCTACATAACAATATCGATTCAAAACCCTACAAAAATGTGAAACAAATATCATTGAAATTTACAGCTCAATAGCTGAATTAAGCAATAGGTTAGACCTGAATAAAGAGTTAGTGAACTGGAAGAAAGAATTGAAAAGATTTCCCAGAATGCAACACAAGAGATTTGGGGAAGAGAAAACAAAAGCAATCTTAAGAGACAGAAAAGATAGAACAAGAAGTTTAAATAAGAATCCTAGAAAGTATAGTCAAGTGTCAGCATTTGAGAATACAATAGCCAAGAACTGTATAGGCTTTTTTTTCCTTGTCATCATTCCCTCAATCATACAGTATAACAACTATTTACATAGCACTTACATTATATTAAGTCTTATAAGTCATCTTGAAATGATTTATAGTATATTGAAGAATGTGTGTAGGTTATATGTAAATACTATGCCATTGTCAGCCACTGATAAGTTTCCAGGGAGTGATTGCCTACAGAGTTAAGGAAGGATGGCAATAAGGAGGAGCACCCAAGTACCTTCTATCCACGAAATGGACAAAAAGGAGGGTATCAGCAGTACAGGTTTTATTAGCATATTCTGTAACTCACATTTGCATCACCCATTAGAGAAATAAAATAATTGAAATTAACAGAAGAGATCAAACAAATGATGGTCAGCATCTTCATATTTAAGTAGTAGACTTAATTAAAGCTCCTCTTAAAAATAACTCCTCTGCAGAGGGTTCATTAACAGGAGGGTAACCATAGGAAACACAAAAACCACCATAAAATATACCATGAATCAATGTCTGTTACTCTGGGGAAGGAGTACCACTCTCAAAGGAGAAAGAGGAGAACCATGTTATTAAGCACCAGTCATGTGCCAAGTCCTGAGCTGGCAAGTTCCCATATCTTGCTTTATTTCATAAATACAGATAGCCACTCACCATTCTCCCACAGAAAGCTTTCCCGCCCTGGCCTTCCCCTCCAGCCAACTCTGCAGCAAGTGCATATTTGGCCTGTCCTCCATAGCCAAAAACGTTTCTCTTGTCACACCAACCTAAGTACTTCTAAACATGAGTAATTTCTAGACAATCAACAATTATCTTTCAGATTTATAATTCAGTTCTGAGGGTAGCTCTTTGTATACCCATAATCTGGTGCTTAACTAATACATCTAGGTAAGAAAGATTTTAAGCTTAATACAGTAAAACCTTCAGCGAGGGCTGGGGTTGTGGCTCAATGGTAGAGCACTTGCCTAGTACATGTGAGGCACTAGTTTGATTCTCAGCATCACATAAAAATAAATAAATTAAATAAAGGTATATTAAAAAAAACAGAAATCTGCAGCTAAACATTCTGCCAGCTTTGAAGAGAATATTATCAACACACAGATATTCAGATACAAATAAAGATCACAACCTTATTAGTATTCAGAAAATATACATATAAAAACAATGAGGTCTGCATTTTTCAAAAGACAAATCATCTCCAGCATAGGAAATTTATATAGGATAAATTTAAGTTTACATAATCTTTATAATGGAAAGCAGTTCAGCACTATTACTACTTAAAATGTGCACAGTTTTTTGTTTGTTAGTGCTAAGGATGGAACCTAAGGCCTTGGAAATTCTAGGCAACCACTCTACCACTAAGCTACATCCCTACCCCTTAAAATAGACATACTTAACTCGTCCATCTAATAACTTCACTTATAGTTACCTATACAGGAAAAAATTTCCCATGTTATTAAAAAAAATCACAAGAACATTCTTTGCTGCATGGTTTGTAAAAGTGGAAGGAAAGTAGGAAGAAATGAAAGAAGGAAGAACACATCCACCTACAGCCATTTATTTCTATTTGTTTTCAAATGAAATTAAAAATCTAAAATTTCTCTCTTTTATAAAAATCTTAAAAGCTGAAAGAATTAACCAAAACTTACTTCAAAAAGAAAGAGGATGGAGTCCAGCTCCTCCCTTTGTGACTTATTATTCCCTGAAATAGTAAAAGAAGATAGTTATCAAGATAACATTTAAACTTTAGGTTACTACACATTATGTTAATAATCACCTTGAAACATGTAAACATCAACAAACATTAATTTATACAAAAATACCTAAAGACAGCATATAAGAAATGCAATAGACAACTGAGCAGACCAGAACTGCCCCTTGCTAGACACAGCTTCTGTGTTCCTCAATCAGGAGCAGATAATTCATTCACTTCTCAACTAGTTACTTATTAGCTCAAATTGTGGCTGAATGACAGCAAAAACAAAGAGTTCTAGCTTGGTCATAGAAACAGGCATACAGCAAGTAACATCTGTAAAAAGCAGTATCTCTTTGGGCAATGGTATACTATTCTTTTGATAATAACAATAATAATCTCCACAACACCTCCAGGAACAGTCACCATTTATTGTCTTCTCTATACCAGAATTTGTGTGCTTTGTGCTTAGCTTACATCGTCTACCTTAGGAATCAGCAAACTTTTTCTTAAAAATAAATACTTTAGGTTTCGGTTCTCTGGTAAATACTTAAGGTTTTACAGGTCTCCCTTATAATCACTCAATACAGATATTATAATGCAAAAGCAGCCACAGGCAATACATAGATTAATTTATATAAAACTTAGATATAAGTTTATATAATCTTTATAGTGGAAAGCAGTTCAGCACTATTACTATTTAAAATGTGCACACTGCTGTTTGTTTGTTTGTTTGTTAGTGCTAGGGATGGAACCCAAGGCCTTAGAAATGTTAGGCAAGGGTATAGCTGTGTCCAGTGTTTTGAAACTTTATTTATAAAAACAGGCAGCAAACTATGAGTTACAGACCCCTGATCTAATGGAATCTCCACAGTTCTGTGAAGTGTTTCATTCACTCATTGAACAAATACTAAAGAATGTCTATATTTCAGGGATTATTCTAGCCCCTGAAGCTACATGAAATGAACAAAACAGACAACAATCCCTGCCCTGAGGAAGATTACATTCTGGCAGAAGGCACTCTATAAAGGAGTGGATGGGGAAGAGAGGGGGCAGGGTGTTAGCAATGATGGTGGAATGTGATGGACATCATTATCCAAAGTACATGTATGAAGACATGAATTGGTGTGAAAATACTTTATGTATAACAAGAGACATGAAAAAATGTGCTCTACATGTGTAATAAGAATAGTAATGCATTCTGCTGTCATTTATTTTTTTAAAAATCAATTAAAAATAAAATAAAACTGCCAGGGAAGGTGGACCCTCAAAAATAATTAATTAATTAATAAGTAAGAAAAACCAAGAGGGAAAGAAGTTGGGGCAATCAAAAAGAGGTGGTGTGCAATTTTGATTAGGGAAAGCAAGGAATGCCTTTCTGGTAGAGTAACAAGTTAGTAAAGATTCAAAGAGGTAAGGAAACAAGCTATATGAATACTGGGGGTAAGGAAGCAAGCCATATGGCAATTTGAGGGAGGAATGCTCAAGGCAGAGGGACTGGACAGTACAAAGTTCCTGTGGCTGAGAATGTCTGGCAGGATAAGGAAACATCCAGAAGGCCCTTGAGGCTGGAGTGAAGAAGGGAAGATTCTAGCAGTTGAGGCTAGAGAGTAAGCAGGGTAAAGGAAGATTAGGTAGTGCCTGAGGTCACTGTAAAGACTTTGGGAATGAGAAGCCATTTGAGGGTTAGAGCCACAGAGTTATGATTTGACTCACATTTTTAAAGCATGGATCCAGCTACTCTTTAAAAGAGATTTTGGGATAGGGAAAGGTGCATGGAGATCCTTTCTGAAGTTACTGCTATAGTCTGTGATAGGATAACAGGAGTTGCACTGTTACTGGTACAGGCAATGAGACAGGGCCAATGGTTCTGGATATCTTTTGAAAGTAGAGCTAATAAATCCAAGGTTTTGGCATGAATAACCGGAAAGTTGAAGTTATCACAAAGTGGTTTCATTATGCCTAATAAATGTTTTCTTTTTTATTCCTTTTTGGGGGCACACTTTCAATATAACAACAGATTATACTAAAAGCAAAAAACTTCAAAAATGTCACCCTGTTTTTAGTGGTTCTTCATTGAGTCCTGTGATAAAGTGAAAAAATGAACACAATCTTTCCCCTCCCTTCAAGAGATATTTTTTTTTCTATCCTTTGAATCTGGGATGCCATATGACTTGCTCTGGCCAAAGTGACATTAGCAAATGTGAG